GGCTAGAACTTCAATTCCATTCAGAACAATAAATCAAAACAAGAAAAACTGAAGCCCCAGAGAGAGCTAAACATGCCAGACAAACTCAAGGAACCGAATTTGATTAATATGAAGGCAACCCAAATAACATTTAGAAATGAAAATTAAACCCAAATGAATCAAATTCGAATGCAAATACAAAAATCTCATCTGCAACCGAAATATCAAACCAATGAAAACCAATAAGCTAAAGCTTCAAAACCTTTACTTTACCTTGATAATACCCATGCCCTGCTATTGCTGTAAAACAAGGCCGTGAGGGTAGCCATGAGAAGCCATCAAACAAAGCTTATCTGCCATGGCCGAGAGAAACCAGTTTCAGAAACGAAATTTCTCTCCTTTTTGGTGCGTCGTGCCTCTTCTTCACACCACCATAAACTGATCCATTCCTAGACCTCAAAACCCAAGATTTCTCACAATTTGGTCTTTTTCATTTTGAGCTGCAACCACACATAATAAAAATCGAAAATAACAAAGTCGGATTTTATGTCATCCAGTTGTTTGATCGATAAATTTTTTATATGAGAATCCAGATTGGATTTCTCACGTCAGACAAAAAGTGCTTGTTTTCTTCCACCTTGCTAGGAAAGAAGAAAAAGGAGAGAGTGACAGAGGTTAGGGGGAAAAAAAGAGAAACAGAGAGAGAAAGAGATAAGGAATCTGGCGGAGAGAAAGAAGAAGAAGAAGAAAAGAAAGAGAGAAGAGAAGGAAATAAAAAAAAAATATATATATTTTATAATTTTGGATTGATTTGACGATTATATCCCTAGATTTAACAGTTTTTTTGACAGAGGGACTATTTAAGAGCACCTATATTAACGTTAGGGACCATGAGTGATACAAAAAAACTTTAAGGATGCAATCTGATAGTTTCGCAAACGTCAGAGACGTTTTGTGATAAAAAGCCATAGGAAAAATAAGTTTTTTTAGTAACAGGCCTTGCCCAACTTCATAGCCTTGAGCAGGGCTCCCAACCTTAAGTCCCAAACTTGAGATTTTTTATTTTATTGATGGGCAGACTTGGAGAACTTCTGAACATTGAACTATGGGTCCTGAACCTCGTGACCCAAACACTAGACATTAGACCCAAAACCACGAGCATTGGACTCCAATATTACAATTTACATTTTTGGATTGTCTTTCTGTAATGAAATCATGAACCAATAAAAATTAATAAATATTATTAACGAAAAGACCCTAAGTTTGGGTTGTAGGGTATGACTGTAAACTATAATGACTACACATTATAGAACACACATCAAGAATATACGAGAGCACATCTCCTCAATTCGATCCCTTCATACACTCATTTTAGATGGGTTGAATTCTTTTGTGTGGGTTGGCTTGATCGGTTGAGCAGGGGCATTTGTGTTTTATATGCATCTGCCTAGGAGTCTTTCCCATCAAGAAAAACTCTCAAGTAGTCCTTATTGCATTAGGAAAAACTCTTGTCCATATTAATTAGGAATCCCTTTCGCCAATGTATTTAACTTAAACACTTATACAAAAGCTACGGGCCAAGTAGTAATTGAGTCCTTGATCAATATTGAGTCCAAGACAACTCTATGATGATTAGAAGACCACGTAAGTAGGTAATTAAAATAATCCAACGTCTTACAATGACTTCCAGAGATAATTAAGGCGAGCAGAGCTCATGGACCAAAAATACCATTCCGGCAATTGCCAATATGTACTAATACCACGTGGTGGTGTGATGGTTAAACCCAACTTTTTTTGTATTTAGAACTAGGATTGCCTTTCAACATTTTTTTATCAAACTCAAGAATTTAAAATGACCAGATGTAGCGTATCATCTAAAAATAAATAAATTCCGATATAGCATTTTATTTATAGACTTAACGTATCACTTTATAGGTGGTTTTTTTTTTTTTTTGCAAACGCCACTCGCAGATTGTCATGAGCGGCAAACAAAGTATCAAAATCCACGTTCACACTATCCTCAAAACTTTATTAACTATTTATGATTGGAAAGTTAGGCTCAGGGTTCCTGGAAGTTCATCTCCAAGACCAAGATAACTTACTTTATTTCTTTTCCCCCTTCAAATTCAAAGTCTTCATGGAAAAGATAAAAAGTTTGATTATGTATATCTTGTACGAAAAAATAGAAAACAAATATTTTTTTAATTTAATTTTAAAAAAAGTATGCAAAGCTTGACTTTGCCTTCATCTCCTATATCCTGGCTTCACGTGTCCGTACAAATCGACTGTAAACTTTGTCATATGATAATGTTGTTAATTTTATGATTGGAGCTCAACCAACGTATGTGGTCCGGTGGAAATCTATGCCTGCCTGCCTGCCTGCCTGCCTGCCTGCTGATGATCCTAGGGAATATCATGGAGCTCTCTGTAGGTGCTGTTTTCTTGCTACAAAACATTGTTCAAGCCAGATTTGTCATAACTTTGTATGAATGTGGGGCAATCTTATCCTGATCAAGTAATTTTTACGTTGTGATGGTAATACCGTAATGTGATTTTATCAGTTCACTTGCATTATAACATGTGATTGCACTTAACTAAGTTGGTTAGAATCGATGTGCTTCCCCACCTGAGTTCGAATTCCTTTTTACGTAATTTATATTATATTAGAATAAAATTAAAATAAATAACACATGATCTTTTTAATATTATATTTCTTCCAATCCAATTTTCTTTGAAAACTGTAACAATCGAAATGTGGAAACCAGCTTGCACTCAGTTATAAGCATGCATGATTGGATAATCTAGAAAAAAGAAAATTTCTATTTTTGACCTCCATAATTTAAGGGGTAGAAAAAGACAGACGAAGATTGGCTGGTATAATTAAGAGATGAGATGAAATTTAGCCGCTAAGAGAGAGAGAAATCTTTAGACTCGGGTGGTTTTCTCCCAAATTATGTCGAATCTTCAGTGTTCTTGGATTTTTGAAGGACTTATGTCGATATATTCTTCCTTTGACAAATATATTATCTCATATACAGATTGATATTGTCTCATATATGGATTGGTTTTGGTTGTGCCTCATCTTTTGAGGCTGCTATTTGAGATGTTGTGGCTTGGTCATGGTAGATTCACTGCTCATTCGTGCGTTGAGGCCCTAGAGTAACTAGGTGGCGCTCTCTATATCATGTCCTAAATGAAGACTAGAGGCGGTTGATTTTCCTTTTGCCAACGTTGTTTTAGTTTTTCATTTTGGTTTAGTTATTTCAATAAAGTCTAGAAATTCTATAAGTTTTCTGTTTTTTTCTCTCTTATAATTCTAGAAATTTAATTGAGTTTGTTGGGTGTTCTTAGTCTTTCTAGGAGAGTCATGCCAATTAGCGGCTAATTTTTATCTTTTAATGACATTGGACTTCGGAAAATTGTGGCAGTGAAAGGGGTTATTAAAAAGTTATTTTTGAGAGTCATTCTCATCGTCTCAGTTTTTCAGCTAACTCAGGTCTCTGAGAAAGTTCTACTCACGTTCGCCATATTGTTATTGAGATGACTACCCATCCTTTGTACTATTATTCGTATTGATCTAATAAAATTCTATTGTCTTTTTATAATTTTTTTTTTTTTTTACAAAAAAAAGATGAGACGAATTTTTAGGTTATTGGTTTGATAGCTAATAACAAAAGATAATCATCCCTTTTAGAAGGTTATAAATTTCTTCCAAATTCTTTCCCGACTCCAAATTGTTAGCTTCTTTCCCCTAGGCCCTAATTGGCTTCATCTCTTATAACCGAGCTTGATTTGACCCATGATTTACTTTATCTTGAAAGAAGTTCAAAGTTCAATTCAAACACTCATTTCATAGGGAAAAAAATCTTAAATCAAGATTAAAAGATAGGATATTTATAACTAAATTATATTTACAAGTCGATAGCGCAGCCCCAACAAAAAAGATACGCCATCACAATATGACTAATCACAATATGTATCGTACTTATTTCCTCCAACTAAATGGAGATAATTATTAAGTACCCCTAAACTAAAAGTTAGACCTTTCTCACAAATAATATCTCCGAGCTTGGAGTGGTAATGGCTCCCCATGGAAAACTATGTTTGTTTATAGGGAGAAAGTTTATATCTAATTTCCAAAGGAGTTTCACCATTTTATCAGAAAATTCCCACATCACATAATAGACCCATTATTCCCTGACCATTTTTGGACAAGATTAAAGCTTTTTGGTGATAACTTGTTGTGACAATCAATCATATATTTGTAGATCTTTAGGAGACAAAGCATGATTAGAATATATTCTTCTCTTTGTGGATCAGATAAATATGGAAAAATAGAAAAGGAAAAAGCACAGTTTGATTTTGGTGTAACCCATACGTTAGGACAATCCGTTCTGCAAGACTCCTATTTTGATCCCCTACGCACCTACAGCAGTGTGGGTCACCACCAATTCCACGCGGCATCTTTTGCATGGCCAAGGGATATTATCGTGGGCTTTCAATGTCCAAATTGATTATTTTTTATTTTTTATTTTTTGACGGCAATAACGGCACATTTTTCATTCCATAATTCCAAATGCATCATTTTGGCAATTTGGTCAGAAAACGAAAACGTGTTTTGTATCTTAAGTTAAGTGCCACCAAAAGTTTTTTTTTTAATTTTTTAATTTTGGATAACCTTCGTTTAGGTGTTTATATCCAAACCATATGTTTTTGTTGATAATCACACACGAAAACTTATCGTTATCAAGTTGACTCAAGATTTGGATATACTAAAAATTATTAGACGTATCTAATACGCTTGAAATTCTTACTTATTTGAAAATAAAACACATGTTATAATGTAATTGAAATTAATACAACACATTAGTATGTCACGTGATATAATAATTTAGAATATCAGATATACAATAATTTCTCGTGATATAGTAAATTAAATTTTATTTTCTATCCAAAAATGTCCATGATTACCTTTATCTACTCAAAGAATATCCTAGGAACATATCAAAATCCTCATTTCTCCCGTCCGAGTCAGGCACAATGACTCGGCGGTGCTCGCACTGCAGCAACAACGGGCACAACTCGCGCACGTGCCCGACACGTGTCGGGTCCTCCTCGTCCTCCGTCGGTGGCGGCGGCGGCGGAGGCCTGAAGCTGTTCGGTGTGAGGCTCACCGATGGCTCGATCATCAAGAAGAGCGCTAGTATGGGGAATTTATCCAGTGCGGCGCACTACCACTCCTCATCGCCCAACCCGGACTCCCCAAGCTCGGACCCGCTCCATGACCCGGTTCACGTCCCCGAAGGTTACTTATCCGACGACCCGGCCCATGCCTCCTCCTCCGCCAATCGCCGCGGAGATCGTAAAAAAGGTATTTTTCATTTTTCCAAACTTATTTCATTTTAATGAGAATGGTTTTGTTCATGTTGTTAATTTAGTTATTGGGTTATGCATACATGCATGAACTAGTCATGTTGTGTTTTCAGAATCAAGTCGATATTTTGATTGGAAATTTGAAATTTATCTGACAGAATAACATTATTTTATGCGCGTGTATTTTTGCATTTATTATTGCTTTGCGTAAAATTTAATAGAAATGTACCTGTGCTTTTCTCGAGGAAGATGAGCTGTTCGTTTCATTGTTTCATGTTGACTTGTTCTTCGTTTCTTCCTTTTTATTTTTATTTTTTAGTTTAATTGATTTGTTTTTTTCTGGGTTCTTTTTCTCTCCTTTCGTTTTCATTTGGGTTTTGCATGTGTTGTGATTGGCTTTGAGTTAGACTATAAACAAGATAACCTTAATTGACGCGTAAAAAAAGTCCTCTTTGAATCGTGTGTTTTACTTCTGTTCCACGTGTCAAAAAATTGATTGTTTTCAAGTCATAAACTTGATGGCCCTCATAGGTAGATGGGGTTTCATTTTTCTTCCTCTTCTTGTCTGTGTGTATATATTTGGTACCCTTTGCTAAATTTCGCCACTTGAAAATGGGTACTAGATAGTTGGCTTTTCTTGTATTTGTTTGTTAAAGCAGTTTGTGTTTTGTATTGCGTTGAAGCTTATAGTTCAATGGTCTTTCTACAACAATTCTTCATGTTTGCATTTTTCAATACCCCATAAGCTAAGAGATAGTTTCAATCTTAAGGTTTATATGATTTATATGTTGGGCCGAAGGCTGCATTCAAGAGCAGAACTTTGGCTTCTAGTACCTCAAAGCATCCTGTGAAAGACTTAACTGAACATCCTCTTTGAAACTCTGACAGTATGTGGTACATTATGTGAATGTTGGTGTCCTGTTCATATAGTAGTTGAAACAGTTGTCCCTAAATGGAATTTAGAAGAGAAAATATATAGGGGTGTTTGAGAGGTACTAAACAGCTGGTAATAAAATGTCAGCATTGTTGAGTTGCAAGTAGAGTGCCCTGAGGGGTGTTTGAGAGATAGTATGACGGGGTTTAATTTATTGATTTCATCCTACTACTTCTGTGAATAGCATACTTACTGAATAAACGGCTGCCATGATACAGGATCTTATTAGATTGGCGCTTTGTTATTTTCCTTGATTTTGAGGAGATATGTTACTTGTTTCAGCTCTTCAATTTGCTAAGTCCTCTAATACCCACCTTGATTTTGCATGCTGTCAAAATAGTGCTTTACTAATCCTGAGTTCTTAACTTCCAAATTCTTTTGAAACTAACCTATTATCTTTCAAAATGGGTACTCTTGAGACTAAAAGTCATGTCATGTTTGTGACTTGTGAGTTATATCTGAACATGATAGGTCTTGGATCACTTTCCTCATAAACATGATTGGCATAAGTCTATGTAGAGCTCTCGGAGCTGCCTCATTAGAAATTAAGCTAGACAGTAGAGAGGGTGCTAAAGATCTTGAAGGGTGACATTATCCGGTGGGTCAAGCTTATGCAGTTAGCATTTCAGCTCTATTATGATTTATCCAGGAATATGGTATCTTTTTTATCATATCCTGAACGATGCTTGGAAACTTGCTTATCACTTAAGAGTTCTGTCAGTTTTTCACATCTTTGAGCATGCATTCAAAATTTCATGAAAATGTATGCTGGATCCATTGGCAGACATGCTCTCCATCAGGATTATTCAACCAAATTGGAGGCAACTTTTTGCCCTACGCTCTGCAATTTGAGGTGACTTCTGTTGAAAATTTCTTTGGTTGCCGTGCAATTGTATAGAGATAAATTTATGCGTTAGGTTAGCTGGGCTGCAATTGATTTTCCTTTTGAAGTACTAACTTCGATTCCACCCAATTTTTGCATTCCAACTAAGGATTGCAGATGTGTCTGCATTCCAATTGGTTGCCTGCTACAGAGGTGCCCAATTCATTAAGTCTGTCATCATTCTTTTATCAACTATTTCAGTTATCTTGTCAGAGCTTTTCTTGCGTAAAATCATTGTTAAATGTACTAGAAGTTGCTTGTGAGATGTGATGTATAATAAGAACAATTACACTTGTGCAGTCTAATCCTCCTAAAACCAACAAAATTTTGTGACCCAATTCAGTTTTTGTGATTGATCAATTGTTGGGGTTTCTGATTATCTTTATTGGTTTTGGTTCTCAGGGACCCCATGGACAGAGGAGGAGCATCGAATGTTCTTAATTGGTCTCCAGAAATTGGGGAAGGGAGACTGGCGTGGAATAGCACGAAATTATGTAACAACTAGGACTCCTACCCAGGTGGCAAGCCATGCCCAGAAGTATTTTATTCGACAGAGTAATGCTACCCGAAGAAAGAGGCGCTCCAGCCTATTCGACATGGTTCCTGATATGGTTTGTCTTACTCTATATTCTTATTCGTTTTCAAATATTATGAACACAAATGTGAGCACAGTATCAAACACAATTTTGTTTCCATGTTAGACACGTTATGGTTATGACACCCACCCTTCTCTTTCATTACAAGGATAGGATTTAGCTATTGTTTGTCACTTCTTCAGTGCTATTCTGCTTATCACTATGTAATCTGGTCAAAGAAAATAGTGTTAGGTTTTGTAATAAAATTTAAGATAATTATATTAAAATTTAGTTTGCTATTTATTTGCCAGGCCATGGATCCACCTCCTGTGCCAGAAGAACAAGTTTTTCTGCCTTCTTGTCAGGAAGCAGAATCTGAAGCTGCAAGTTCACTACCTTCATTAAATCTTTCCCTCAGCTCAGAATGCAAACCAATGGAAACCACACATGAAGAAAAAGTAAACGAACCTGATCATGAGCCTGTAATGGGATCAAACGGTTTCCCGCCAATGATTCCTGGTTTCTTCCCAGCTTATTTGCCATACCCTTTTCCAATATGGCCACCAAGTGCAGGGCCCATGAGAGAATTAAAGGGTGGGGAGGCCTCTCATCAGCAGGTTTTAAGGCCGATTCCAATCCTTCGCAAGGAGCCTGTCAATGTTGATGCACTGGTGGGCATGTCTCAGCTCAGTCTAGGAGACACACAGAGAGGCCACAAGGAGCCTTCACCTCTCTCCTTAAAACTACTAGGAGAGCCCTCGAGGCAGTCGGCATTTCACCCAAATGCTCCAGCCGCTGAGCCGGACTTGAGCAAGGGCAAGAGCAGTGCGATCCAAGCAGTCTGAATTGGGGAAATGGAGCATTGTCTCCCTCTCCTTTATGGGCCGTTTTGTACAATTATAATGTTCTATTAGGCGTCCTATTCTATTTCTTCAATGGTTCGAAGTTCTTATAAATAACATAGGTTAGATAAGTTTCGTTGGAAAAAGGTATTCTTTCTAATTGTAAACAGCTAGAAATTTAACATTATTGAATGAATTTGGTAACATAGTGCTGCTGGCTTTTGTTGAACCCTGAATTTCTTGTCCATATATTCTTACCATACAACCTGATATAACAACGTATGTCAACGTGGCAATTTCTTTTCTTACTTTCTAATTTAATATTTATTTTTGGTCAAGGCTGTCAGAATTTTTTTACCAAGCGGGAATTTGTGAGAGAATTCATTTTGCTTCCGACTTTGATATGGGTTTTTTTATTTATAAAGTTTTTGGGTCTGAATACTTTGATCATGGTTTAGATTAGCTAAAGAATATGTTATGCTAAGTAGTGGTGGGCGCGGTCCTGTTCGGTCCGATTCTCACCTCAAATTAGAATTGGAACCGGTATTATTTAAACGGTCCGATTTGGTCCGGTTTAGGCAAAAAAAAATCAAAAATCGATCGGTTCGGTTCTGACCGGTTCCGGTTTTGAACTGGATTATTAATTTATTATTAATTAATTTTTAATTTTAAAAAAATATTTTTTTAAAATTTTTTAATTAAAAAATTATAATAAATAACTTATGTTTTTGGCTTAAAAATTAACAAATAATCCAATTCATACATTTAGAAATTTTTTGAAGTTGAACTTGGAAAAATAGTGATTATAACATTTAAAATATAGCATTAGATTTTAAAAATTTGTAAAAATAAAAAATATATATATGATCGGTCCGGTTCGATCCGGTCTGATGCGGTGTGATGTACAATGGAAACCGGAATTGGTTGGAACCGATTCGGTCCGATTTCGATCCGATTTGTTGACTTTTTTTGTCAACCGATTTTTTTTCCGGTTTTTTTCACCGGTTCGATTCGGTGTTCCGGTTTTTCAATTTTTCGGTCCCGATGCCCACCCTTAATGCTAAGACTACAAATCAGATGAATGATTTTATTTAAATTACGGAATAATGACATTCAAAAATGAAATTCAATATATTATTATGATCCAAATTTGGTAATTGCCTAAGTTTGAAACATGCTCAAAAAAATATATACTTATAAAGGGCCATGTATTTTATTGATAAGAGAAACATAAACAAGTACAAAACTACTATGGTGTCAAATATGGATAAATCTTCTCCAACAAGGAAGTTGAATTGATCTGCAGATAATCACACATAACCCACAAACTGATTAAAATCCCTGATTCAGCAACCAAAAACACGCCTATTGTTGAGGCCTAAAAATCCAAGGGCTAGGCCCAAGCTTATCTCTGGCTCGGCGTAAATAATTACTCACAAAAGAAACTCAATCGGGGCATAATGGGAAATTGTAGGACTCACCTACACGAGCCGTAGGTCACGTATCACGCCAAGCAAGCATGCCAAAAATGCGATGGCTCTATAAATTCGCGCTCATCAGCCTATCTGATGTTATTTGATCCAAGCCCGGCTTATCATGGCACAATAAAACTCAAGCCCAAGCATGATAAATAAACACGCAATGCCCTCAAGCCATGCTACAAGCTCAAGTGGGCCTAAGCCACGTAACTATCCGGGGCTTGCTGAGAAGGTTGTGGTATGGACGGGTACGAGCACTCATAGGGCCCATTGAGGGACCGAGGAATGGAAGTTTTAGGTCACTTGGGAGCACTAAAACTCAGGCCCATTCCTCGGGCCCAAATACATAGGTTACCATGAGAGAGAAAAGAATGGGGTCCAATGCCTTAGGAGAATATCCCATAGGTTGCTATAGCATTTAGGAAAATCCATGATAATTAGAATGCCCAAAAACAAATAAGCCACTTCCAACAGCTTGACGAAAGCATACGGGCCGCTGGAAAGGAGAGCATCAATAACCCCAATGCTATACATGAAGCCCAGCCCAGTGTTTCATAGAAAATTCAGCATCGAGCTCCACCCATATCAGAACCCCTATGTGGTCAACAAGGAACCATAGCAAGGACCATAGGAAATCCATGAACGTAGAAGAAATACCCACTGGGTAAAGGACTTCGCCCATTCTCCCATTTCCTTTGCGAGCTCCAGTTTGAAAATCAAGGGCAAAAGCAAGTGGTGCCTCACCCCCATGGGAAGGCTCAGCCGCATAAAACCTTGGAACCTTAAGAAGCCATGGATTCAGGCGCTTTGGTCAAAGATTTTTCACAAGAAAGGGAGTGATTGGAAAAAGGGAATGGAGGATCAACGAAATTAGGGTTCCAAATGCCTATAAAAGGGAGCTTCCTCTACCCAGCAACACACACCATTCCAGAGCAAGACCAAGCTTTGTCAAGCAAACTGGAATTTACCCATCCTTTATTTCCATCGTTTCTCTCCTTTTTTTGAAACAGAAACCTTCCTAATTTTCCCTCCTTCCACTCTAAACCTTCCTTTCTGAAAGAAACTCATGCTTTGATCTCTCTCTCTCTCTCAAATTGCTAAACCTGTGAAAGCTTAGCTCCCATGCCACAAGCTCCTCACGCTAAGTCATTAACAAATTTGATACGCTTTTCTGGTTGTTGGTGAAAAGAACCCAAACGTATTTTTCTAAGGCTTCAGCAAGTCTTTTAAAAATTCTTTTGGGAGCCTGGTTCTTGAACTCAGGCTTCAGGAGGTTTTTTGTTCGTTTTCCTCTCATAGCAGCCCAAGCCTATTCGTCAGGCTGCTGGAACAAAAAGACCCCTACACCTATTCAAACCTACAATACAAATCTGTCGTGCATTGGCAAAAGCGACAAATCCGTATTGAAAGTCAAAAACTAAAAAGAAATAAAACTAACAAATGATAAGAAGCTCCTAAAGCATGACATCTTCCCATCATTGCAGCTCCATACCCATGTTGAAGATTGACAACTGGAGCTAAATCCTCCCGCAAGTGCGCTAAAAGGCGGTGACTATCACGATGACGACAGCGTTTCACGACATCCGCTTCCACACCACAAAAGAAAATAACAAAGCAATATAAAGGGGAAAAGGGAGGAAAGGAGAGGGAAGGAGAGGGGATGAAATGAGAGAGGGTAGGAGGAGATGAGAGAGGAGAGGGGAGGGGGAAGGGAGGATGGCTACCAACCCCCAAAAGGGACAGTGGCTATGGTTTCTTTTCTTAAGCTTTTCTCAAAGAGATTTTTTCTTAAGAGAATACCTAATCTAATTTCTAATCCAATGGGAAAAATATTTTTCAAAGGCTAAATTGTAGTAATGAATCCTAAATTATACCATGTTTTACATTTTCATCCTTGAATTTTAATAGTTAATGTCATCCTCAAATTCGGGTCGCACTTGTAGTTCTTTCCGTTAACTTTGTTTAAATCTTTTTTTGTTAAATTCATGGGTAAAAGCCTAATAATAAATAAAATGAGATAATAAAAAATAATTTTATGTACATATAATAAAATAAAAGGAAATGCCCAACCCTTCCACCCACCACTCCAAACCATCAACAATCAACATTAGTAATTATGGTGTGTTTACTAATTAGGAATTAGAATTCGAATCAGGAAATTTTAATTATGGAGGATTCCTGTGTTTACTTCACATCAAAGAATTAAAAAGTAAGTAGGGCCCACATAAAATTTGGAATTGAATTCTTGATTTTAGAGGAATTCAATTCTTGGGTGGAATGTGATATTCTAATTACTGAAGAACTAACCCATTATGAATTCATCTTTTTATCCATTATATCCACACACAATTTTGAAAATTCCAAATTTGTCATCTACTTTAACTCAACAACAAGGACATT